AATCACCAGGAGATGGTGAGTTCTAGTCCTGCCTTAGGCATGAAAGCGAACTGGGGGACTTTGGGCCAATCACCAGGAGACGGGGAGTTCTAGTCCTGCCTTAGGCAAGAAAGCTAATTCTCTCTCAGCGCAACCCACCTCACAGGGTTGTTGTTATGGGGGAAATAGGAAGCGGGGGTTATTAGCCCTGCAATGAGTCTAATAGTGAACCGGGCTCTGTGTGTGTGTGTGTGTGTGGAGGCATTTTCAAATGATTTTACCCAGCCCCGTTTGGATGCCCTCGACTGTCCTGTTAACAGCTTGCTAGGTTTACCCGCAAGGTTCGCCTTCCGCTCCGGGGTGCAGGAGCCCCGTCAGGGAGACCCCGGCCTCCTTGCATATTTTGCATGGACTTGAACCTGGGGGAGGGAGGTCTCCCCACCAAGGCTGCTGTCAATCACCCCTCGGCGGGGGGGGGGGCAAACCACCCGCTCCTTTACCTTCTCCCCCCGCGCGCCCTTCCTGCCGGATCCTATCCCGATCCAAGAGCTGCCCCCACCCCCTCACCTCAATCCCCGCCCGGCTTCCCCGTCTGCTTCCCATTATTCGCCGCCGCCGCCTCCTCCTCCTCCTCCTCCTCCGGTTTCCCGGGCGGGCCGGGGCCGGGGGGCGGCGGCAGAAGGCGCGATGCTGCGGGCGGCGGGGCTGCTGCTGGTGGCGGCGGCAGCGCTCGGTGGGCTGTGCGGGGCGCCGGGCGAGACCTTCAGCTCCATGCTCAGCATCCGCCGGGCGCTGGGCACGGAACGGGCGCTGCTGGGCCACCTGCGCTCCTACCTGGAGGACGAAGCCAGCCGGCTGCGGGACCTGGACAGGTGAGGCGGGAGGGGAGGGGAGAGCGGGAGGGACACCCTCGTCTCCCTTCCTTCCTTCCTTCCTTCCTTCTCCGTCTGTCTATCTTGTCTGTCTTTCTTTCCTTTCTTCCTTCCTTCTTTCTTTCGCCAGTCTCCTTCATTCCTCTTTTCTTTCTTTCTCTTCCTTCCTTCCCCGTCTGTCTATCTTGTCTGTCTTTCTTTCCTTTCTTCCTTCTTTCTTTTTCCAGTCTCCTTCATTCCTCTTTTCTTTCTTTCTCTTCCTTCCTTCCCCGTCTGTCTATCTTGTCTGTCTTTCCTTCCTTCCTTTCTTCCTTCCTTCCTTCTTTCCCAGTCTCCTTCATTCCTCTTTTCTTT